CTGTGATTTTCAATTTTATTTAGAAAATTCGATTCAAAAATCTTACATTTTTCACGAACGTCTGAAGTGCGCCCGACAATTACGTATAAAATGAAACATTATTAAATCTCGCTGTTCGACCATGCGGAACAGCATTATTAATCCCTAGGAAAAATTTTCTTCCACTTCGCTGACTTTAAAATATATTTTATTGGAAGCAACTAGTAAGGACTGTAAACTCTGCAATACTTCGTCTATTTGTAGCGATGCGCGCCGAGCTCTACATCATAACAAATAAACTCATACCTATAAATTGTGTATTAAAAAATTTGTTCATCGTGTACATTTTTATTTGATTTACACCTGTAACTTAAAGTTTTGGTATATTTTGATAGATAGGAAAGAATAATTTTAATCTTGTACGAAAAAAAATACTCAGTATTTTTATCATAATATTTACAATTATTCTTACGTTTGGATGATCTTAATTTAATCAAAAATGTTAAGCTTCTCGTTTTATTCTTCATTTACATTTGTGATCCTTTCTATTATGAAATGCACTATTGAAAGGAATCCCCCGCCAACGTATGTTTAACCCTTTAAGGTCCAGTGTCCACACGTATTGAACATATACTCGTAGTCTTGCATTACATTAGTCTTAGGACCGCCAAGTGGTAATGGCGCTACACGTGTAAGTATCACTGAATTAAAATGTGCAAAGTATCTATCTGATAAACGATGCGCGATACTACAAAACTAAATGAATCCGTTACAATATATCGTGTCATAGCCGTATAGGAGGTATAAAATTGTTTTTTTGAAGTCATAGAAACGCAGGTAAGACTAGGTAGTAGTTGCTTCTGTTCATCTTGTCTCTCTGTCACACACCGACGTGTGCATTCTAGTCTAAATTGCCTTCCCGTCGAATGCAAGCAAACATATCACGTCCCACCTGATAGCAACTGATTGTAGTCGTTAATAGATGTCAATGCCCAGCGCACAACCACGCCACTGTGTAACCAAAGAGATCGAAGTTCCAATTATATGCAATAATGGTTCTCCTAGCCTGCAAATTGCTTTGCGGGGGATACACGCAAACACGTAAGCTGTACAATTAACGAAAGGCTATATGCACTATTTCATTAAATAAACTGAGTGATATTACTTTTGAATTTGGAGCATGTTAATATACAAATTTTTTATTGATAGGCTTAATGAATGGTCTTTGGTTTATTACAGGAAACTATTTGGACGTCCACCTAAGTTTTATTAAAATACAATCACAGCTACGGTAAGACGGTGACCGGTGCTTGCGAGCCTAAAAGCACCGAGAGTGGATACAGGGAATCCGACAAGACATGTTTTGGGCGACGGCAGCTTTGCTTTGCCACGTCGCCTGGATCGAATATATAGTTAGCAGTAGTGGCCACGATAAGAGAGTTATCGTGCCGCGGTGCTTTTTCAAAGTAGTGTTCTAATGCTTCTCTAAGAAACTTACATATCGATTTTAGATTTAGGTCGTCGTGAAAATCTACATTCCTCACATACCACGGTGCTTCGACGGCTATCCTGCACAAGCGGGATTGGATGACATATGCAAGTTTTGTTGAATGTCACCTTATTTGACAATTTACCTCGCTAGCAGATTATGGAGTAGAGTGGACCCAGTAGGAACGCGGCTCGATCGCGTACTGACTTAATGTGCGGACTGAATGTCATCCCTCTGTCGAGGGTGACGCCACGGCATGAACTGGCCAAAAATTTTGATGGCAAGAATGGAGATACCGCGCCTAATTCGAAACGAGATATATTGGCAGTGGCGTCGGGAGGGCGCTCCCTTTTGAAGAGCAAGGCTGTGTTTTTCGTAATGTTGATATCAATGCGCCACCTCCGAAACCAGTTCTAAATTGGTGGCTGCAATCTGGAATTTTCTGTGGATGAACGACATCTTCTTACTCGAGTATTAAATAGCCCTATCATCGGCGAAGGGAGCTAACTGGGTTGCCGGCGACCGGGGTATGTCGCGTTAATGTATAAGCCACGAAGCGGTAAGAGACCGGAGCCTTGCGGGACTAAGGCCGAGATCTGACGCGGGAGTGAGCCGATTCCCTCCCTCTACTCGATACCGAAACGAACGGTTCGACAAGAAGTCTCGTATGATGAGCTCGTTTCTGTCTGGCACTTCCATCTGGTATAGTTTGTAAATTAAGCCGTTGTGCCAGACTTTATCGAATAACTTCGCGATATCGAAGAAGAGCGCTCCCGAGGAGATGGGTCTAAGACTATTTAGTCCTACTAAGATGTGCTCCGTGAAGCAGTGCATTGTTGGATGCACGAATGTTTGACGCGGAATCCAATATATTCGTTTATGAGGATGCCTTTTGAGGCGAGAAAGTCCCAGAGTAGTTTACGAATCAGTCGTTCATACAGTTTGCCTATCTTATTTACTTATTTATTTATTTTATTTTATTTAATATATTTTGTACACACAGCTGTTAGAAAAGACACGTCAATAAGGATACAGAGTACAAGGGCACTACTTATTTCATGCTGAAATCTCTTCCAGTAGGCCCGCAAAAGAAAAAAAGAATTAGGAACACAAACCTAGTGCATACAGTAAACATTACATAAAATAATATATACATATTACAAGATACAAAACAATATATATACATACAAATACACACACACACACACACATACATATATATAACATACACACATATACTTACTTTATATTATAATACATTGTACAAATATATATAATTTATTTAAGATGGTAAGGATAAATAATGTTCCTTAACAGATTTCTTGAACGCTGCTATGGTTTTGCACGCTCGTATGCTTGGAGGGAGGGAATTCCAAAGTATAACTGCTTGTACAGAAAACGATTTTGCGTAAGCATGTGTTTTATGAACAGGGCAATTGAGGAGAGTTTTAATGTGTGTTCTACAAGGAGCAATGGAGGGACGGGCATAGGTAAAGCGATCACGTAAATATTGTGGGTAGTTAGGATTATGTAGGATATTAAATAGGAAGCACAACAATCTAGTATTTCTGCTATGCTATCTGCTATCGTTAGGAGGAGGCTAATTGGGCAGTAATTTTTGGGTTCGTTTTTAGTATTTCCAGGTTTGTGTATGCCGATAACGTCCACTTCTTTCCACACCGCGGAAAGATACAGTTCGTCATAGCAGCATTTAAAATAGAGAGGGATTATTCTTTATTGTACACCAAAAAATAAATAAAAAATGCGATACATGAAATGCAATAAAGTACAATTGGCGGTCTTATCGCTAAGAGCGATCTCTCCCGGACAACCATGAGGTGGACAAGGATTATTTGGAAACGAATTTCCAAAAATAGAGGCCAACATGTTATTATAGAGGAAATGATTCGGAGTTGGAGGGCCGACGATTTCGAAGGCGTCTAGTCGCCTACCGTTCAAGTTTGTGGTTGGGCAGTTCCACTTAGTATTGTGACAGTTAGTCTCCTGCCAGAATGACGGGGGGTGGGGGTGATTTCTCGTCAGTGAGATGCAGCACATTGATGTTTCGACGTGAGAGAGCGAGGGGGATCGAGTAGGGCAGTGCGGGGCCTGCCCATAGTAAATGACAGTGCTACCCTTAGGGGCGGGAATTCTGTCATTCCTAACCATGACATAATTCGCGATTTGAGCCTTACTGTAACAATTCGCTATAAGTCCGTTATATTAAACCTGTCCGTTTTCATACTCGCATAAACGCGATTCGCAACTCTATACAGATATTTACGTTAAAATGTACCTATCTTTTTTGTACTTAAAAGAGAAGTCTGTATATGCATTTTATGAAACCTCACATAGTATATATCTATACATTGACAAAACATTTGACAAATATTTAAATTTCGTAATCTCAAAGGAAAATCTTGTAATCTCAAAGGCAAATTTTTAAGATGTCCTACTTTCTGTTCCCGATGTCGAAATCTACACATACGTCTTAACAGGATCTTACGAGAAGCATTCCAGATTTCTCCAGAAGAGACCGTCAGCTCAAAGCAAAACGTATTTTATATTAGTAAATTGGAGTAGGTACTATTGTTGATACGCAAGCAAGTATTGTGACACAATGTCATCATTTATAATGTACTGAAGCATTTCTACTGTCAATAAACTGAATTAAAAAGTTGAACCCCTCCCGCAAATTATTTGGTTTTAGTTTAGTAAAAGAATTACTTAACGTTTATTCAACTCTGTTTGAGTTTGCTCAAAATAATAGCGGTCGCGTACTATTATATCTTCGTAGATGAATCTAGAATATTCCAACCTGTAATATTTCCACGCGTAGTTAGAAGGCAGGGGAAACGAACTAATTCCGGGAACGTTCCGCCTACAATTTCATCTTGGAAATAGGAAGCTTAAGCGTCGCATAATAAGATAAGTTCGTAATCTTTCTTAAGTAAAATCCTTATTCAAGAAAAGATTCTTCAGAGCTAGTCGTCTAAAAATAACATGTTTATGAAGGCACAGATAACGCAATAGAAATAATAACTCGTAGTCAAGTATTAGTTTTAGATTATAGTTAGTGTTAGTTATACAGTAAAGTATGAATTACTATTATGAACTTTTCTAACACTTCTATTTTAAATATAATGTGTATTTGCAATGTTTCATGAAACTTGGTGACGCTCCGCTGTGATCACTAATTGTATGAAAAAACTTTACGTTACTTCAAATTATTACAAGAGATGTTATGACAATTATGAACACTAAAAAAAATTACTAAAGCCAATCTCAAGTGATAGTCTGATATAGATTGAGCGGTTTGTCGAATGTCGCCGCAAGCGCTATAGCAGTGCCACTTTTTGAGGCAAATGCATTTGCGACACTTGCATTTAATATTTAATTATTATTGTGTTTGGATATACATTTTATTGGTTATTAATATATATACTTCTTGTACTTTGATGCTACTTTTCCTTGAAATTATAGAGTCTCATAACATTTTTTTTATCGATGTCTCAATTCAAATAAAACTCACCTTAAGATAACACCATCCGCATCTTGTAATCTCCGAAGTGTGGTTTGTTGAAAAGTTGTTTGTGAGATGCTCTACAAATTTCTGTGCCCAATGTCGACGTTCAGAAGCACTCGCACAGCTGAACAGGATCTTGCGCGGTGTGTTCCGGATCCCTCCAGATGAGACAGACAACTCGAAGCAATATGAGTTGCTGGTAGTGCTATGCAACAAAGAAAAATAATATCATATTCACATATTCTTATTTTAATGAATTAAATTGATATGCATATGAATAGTGGTTTATTTCAATTATACAAGATGTGTCTTATTTCAGCATAATTGGCCTTTGGTACTGTGTAGTTACTTGTAGTTGCAGTTTAGTACGTTTAAGAAATCCATGAAATCTTTATAAAATATTCTAAAATTACTAATCTTAATTGGCTTTCATATTCAAACTTCTGAGCCAAAGCATTATTGTGTAACTTGTTGTTCAGGCCATGTGAAATTTTGACTTAAGATTGTTATATTATCACACAAAATTACTAAATATTTATATTTAAAAATTAAATAGATTTGTGTTTTGTTCCACACTTTCTTCTGTATAGTGCTTTACTTTTTTAGGTTTAAACATATTTTACAAAATACATTTGTTTTAAAATATTTTTCTGAGTTGAGTGAGTTCTGAGTACACGGCTTGAAGATTAAGTTCGACATGTCCCACAAATGGTATACATGGCATAAAATATATTGAACAAAAACTTAAGAAAATATAAGCAAATCTAAAACTGAACTTACCTAGAAGATAGTGGCAAGACTATTTGAATTGAATAAATGTTATCGAGTGTGTATGCCTCTTTAAGGATTGAATTTGTAGGGTCTGTGTAACACATTAACTTCTGATCAGATAAAACACAATACCGAGATTGTGAATTTTTAAATAAGTCTTCTACTACTCCAGACACTATCTTCATAAGGATGCCACTGAAGTATGGCACAGGCTGAGTGTGAACAGGAGGCCTTTCGACCACTTCTATCTTTGGTAATGTTTGTTTAGTTGATTTGTTAAGAACATTGTCTAACTTCAGCCTTCTTGAGAATCTTTGTATAACTGAATTTGATTGCTTTGTTTCGTCTTCTGTAATCGATTTAGAATCAGAATCTGACACAAACCAATTTGAGTTTTTATCTCTATTTTGCACCCTTTCAGTTGGCTTTTCTTCAGGGAATAAACTATCAAATCTCTCAGGTGGTGTTGGAGGATTAAAATAATCACTCTCATCAAAATTAAACTTATCATCATTAGTATCGTTAGAGACTATGGTACCATATGTATCTCCAGTGAGAAATGACTCAAGAAGCAAAAGTTCATTACTAACTCCTTGGTACTTTGAGCTTGTACTACTTTTATGCAAAGGATCAAATTCATATATTGTACTTTTACTTGGTCTTGATGTATTTTCTGTAACCAATTCAACATCTTTTGTTTTATTTTCCTTTTTAGCTTGAAATGGAAGAGTCCAATTTTCATACATGGAGTTTTGTCTCATTACTTCAACAGACTCTCTATTTTTTCTTCTTTCTGGTATTTCTGGGAATGATCCAAAACTCACAATGCTGTTAGTTCTTGAAGGTTTGGGAGTATCATAGGTTAGATGCTCATTGGAATTGTCATCTAATTCTCTGCTATCATGAGAAAAGTTACTGACAGTATCTGTATTAGTGTCAGAATGATTAGAAAATAACGACATATCATCTAAATGTCTAGCATTCAGCTGAAGAGGAGGTATGTCTGCCGTTTCAGTGTCATCTTCATTTTTATATCTCTTCTGTTCTAACAAAGGTGAATGAAACTGAATATTATCAAATAAACTCACATCTACAACAGGCATGGACACACATCTCTGATCTGGTTCTTCTATACTGTCAGGTTTCGTTGAGCGTCGTAACTTGAGGCCGGCAGACCGTGTGCCCTCAATCACAGACTTAGTAACGGAATCTCTCACAGCGCGAGATGTTGTAATGGTTTTTTCTAATGTACCTCTGGCGAACCTCGACCCGTCTATTATCGATTTTTCTATCTTCTCATTAGCGGACTTTGCGGAGCTGCTAAGCTTCGAGGCCACATCTTCTGTTAATTGTTTTGAAACTGAACTTATCGATCGAAGAATTTCTGAAGCCGAACCTCGATCATTGGGAGGTACTTTAGTACGAGGCAGTGGAACGGGCTGTTTTAGTGGATCATTTTGAGGTAAAAATGCGCTTCTAGGCTTAGGAATAGGCGGGGTATCCATTGGTAAAGATTTCGCAAACCCACAATCACAAAATAATATTATGGACACCCATGTTATCACTTAGAACGATTGATTTATACACACTGCACAAACAAAAACTATGGTGACTCACAATAACTCACTTATTTAACACAATGACCTTAATTCAACAGCACGCTTTTAGTATAGGCTGTCTTAAACAAAAGAAAATTTAGGTTTCTAAAAGTAAAGAATTAAAAACGAATATGTAAAATGAAAACAAAGAAAATAAATAAAACCAAAAAACGTTGCACACACGAAAGAACAAAACGAAGGGTGGTAGTAACGGTGTTGCCAGCCACCACTCTGTTTTGTTACCACTGATTCTCTGAACTGAACTATTACTAAGCTATCTTTTCCCTAATACTAGTACATGACATACATAATAACAATATAAATACTTATAATCGTTTAAATATTGGTTTGGTCCTTACACACAGGTACTTTACGTTAGGCTAAAATTTTACAAAGAAGCTTGAATTTGAAATCTCTAGTATTTCCTTACTGTGTATGAATCGTTGATCGAAGGTCTGTATTTTTATTAAAGCGCTGAAATAATTATAGAATTGAGACATGAGAGCTCAAATCTCGAGATCTCCTCTCGGGCTCCTATAGGTCAGGTGGGCTGTGAGCACGCTCCCCGTCTATGAAATAAATTCTTAAAACTTATCATACATACATTACATAGTTTATAGACAACAAATTGTATATAGAATGTTCATAATATAGATACAAATCATACGTATGAATGTACATTCTGAATAAGGTTCCTTGTACTGCGTTCGGCTTTTTAATAGCATAAATTAGCAGATAAGCCCACCTATTCCACCAGCCTAACCTATGTTAACGTGGATACACACCAAAAATAAAAATCAGTTTATTAGATGTTTCAAATAATTTGAATGTTGAAAATATTTACGTCAAACAAAGTTTGCAAAATAATACAAAGATTTTTCTAATAGAATAGGAAATTAATTTAATTAGTTACCTTGAATTTCATATTCCGGAGATTAGTTTACTTTTTAATTTAATAAACCATAACCTACCATAACTTTTACTCAGATTGTCTGCTGAATTTTGAATTTGTAGAGCAAAATAATATACTTGCAACTTTGCTAATACATTCTTGAAAGTAATTTCTTATCAAATACAAAGAAACCATTTTATGCAGCTTAGACCAAACTCACAATGTTTTTTTTCGTTTGAAATTCTATGTGGCTATTCCAGCTACGTAAAGATGGGTAGGTGAGCTCATAGGACTCAACCTGAGAAAGTTTTATAACTTTAGCCGTATCAAGAGCAGTGCTTCGCTGAATCTAACACCGGATCCGAAACGCGATCCACTGAGAAGATCCGTCGAGAAACTCTTAATCGCATTCGACCAATACAACGAGAACGGTGATCGTTGCTTCGAGAGACTAAAAGCTTCGAGAGTGGACCGGAGGTGATGAGACTGTGGACCGCGACACTACACTTGCTTAGGCTATATAGTATGCATACGTTTAAGCAAGTACTATAAAGTGTCACTTTTTTTACTGGTGGTAGGATCTCTGGTGAGTCTACGCGGGTAGGAACCACCACCCTGCCTATTTCTACCGTGAAGCAATAATGCGTTTCGGTTTGAGGGGTGGGGCAGCCGTTGCAACTATACTGAGACCTTAGAACTTATCTCAAGGTGGGTGGCGCATTTACGTTGTAGATGTCTATGGTCTCCAGTAACCACTTAACACCAGGTGGGCTGTGAGCTCGTCCACCCATCTAAGCAATAAAAAAAATTATAACGAAAGGACAACTTACTTCACTTGCAGATCATGGGGTACAGACGGCTGAGTAAGAACGTGGCTCGGTTGCACACTAACTTTAACTCGGTATGAAATGTCATCACTCTGTCGATGGTGACATCTATGTATTTGAATATTATGTATGTATCCAACCGAATATCCATTGATACCACGCACCGTCAAATGGACTAATAAAAAAGTAAAATAGATCTTATTACTAACCCGCTATAAGTATGTTGTTAAATGGTATCGCCGCTGTATTGATTCCGCCTTTGCACAAGCCGGCTTCGCCGCGCCATATACATATCTAAATTACCCTTCCATATATATTTACGGAATATTCACGCGGTATATTTACATATTCCCCACAAATAAAAAGCTTTTACTGTATCGCAGTTTTTATTATATTTATCAAATTAGTTATTCTTTATAATCTTATATAATAATATCTTTGTAATTAGTTTTCTAAAATTCGTATCTGAAATAGAGAAACATACAAATCAGAAGAAGAGGCTGTTGTGGTTCTAACAAGTATCGAGAGAGTATCGTGCATAGGTGACTGACTGCCTTACTGAGCGAGATTTTCACATAATAAATCATTTTTTTCAGTTTTTACGAGTCGTAGTCATTATTAAGACTACTTAGACGACCGCAACTTCGACAAAAGTAAAATAGTCATAAAAATACATATAGTATCAGTACAAGCCAGAGTTTAAGCCTAAAAAGTAGCTTTATTTCTGCTATATTGCATTAAAATGCATCAAATCTCTAATCATCAATCCCGGTGCACATTTAAAATTGCTATCTTGTACACTATATCAACTCATCTTGCACGATGCGATGTAGGTTAGTCGCTTTTGAGTTAAGATTTTTATTGTTTCGCTCGCAACGGTAGTTAATAATCAAATCTGTTATACTCGTATATGTGACGACTAAAAATGTGGTGGAGCAGTAGACACCACACGCTGCCCATAATTAAATGAAAAACTGACGCATGTCAACTGTGACTTAATCGATTGTTCGCATCGGAACACACGGAGCTAAATATATTCTTTGAATTTCTGTATGTACGTGTATTGCATGCATCAAATTGCCCTCAAAGTTATTATGCGAATATTCTTCCTACAATCGAATGCATAATCAGTCCTATATTTCGATTATTTTATATATGTTCTATTATAACAATGCGTTAAAAGAAAATTAAAAAGAAACAAAATTAAATGTTCCTTAAATTTCGATCACTGAACGAACATTCGTGATCATGATCGTAATTCAAACAATAATCACTAAACTCTCTTTTTTTTCCTACCTAAGCTGGTAGCCTTGAGAGGCTATTCCAGCGTAACCTTAACTAGTAGGTGAGCTCACGGGGCTCAAATCTGACGACGTTGCTATCACGAACCCTAGCAAGAGCCGTGCTTCGCTGAATCTACCACCGGATCGGAAACGCGACCCACTGAGAAGATCCGGCGAGAAACTCAGTGGGCTGTGTCTGAGGGTGTAAACTCTCAGGAATTTGTTTTTTTAATCCATTTTTTTATTATACATATAAAAGTAGGTAAACAAAAAATTGTTTCAAACCTGACCAAGATCTTCTATAAAGGCAAAACAAAAAAACAAGAAGAGAAAGCGGTCCACAAGCAAAGAAGAAAAATATTGTGAGCTGGTTTTAAAAGCCACAAGATACGCGTGCAATTAAGTTTCAAGTACATAATCTCTTTGTATGCACGTACTTGTAAACTTGTAAATTTATTTTGAGCGGCGTGGTTGTCGACGCAAACCGCAAACACGTCATCTTGTACAATGTTACACCCCTGTGCTTAGAATAAAGCCAAGGCCCTGTAATAATAATCGATTATTGATACAAGCTTCGCTGTTGTCTTCACCTACACATAAATTTATGTTAAACCTCAAAATATAAATTTAAATTGTTACAGGATTCTTACATTGCAAAAACTAAAGTATGTCCTAACTACAGCTGCCAATATTCACTCTAACTAAAATGCCCATAAAAATTGGGATCCATTGATTAAACTACCTAAAAGATCGTGACAGCTTGTGAATATCGACACTACTTTTACTATTCAGTACAATTCGTATTGATAAAACAGCTAAATAATATACATAAAAGAAATTCCAATCTAGTCAGTTACGCATTTATTCACATTTAAGAATAAGCGAATGAAAGCAATAAGAAATCAATGGGAACATAAGTATCGCAAGTTAATTTAATTAAAGGCAATTGACAAATTATGTTAAAAATCTAGTTGAACGTAATTTACAATGAACCGCCCACTGAACTTACATTGAGATTAATGGACTGGCGTTCAGAGGTACGGTGGTTAAAACATTGTTGAAAGTTGTTGAAAATGAGTATTACAGCAGCCGACTACCCTCAATACGGTTCGGAGTGACCGAAAAGAATAGGACCGCGGGCCGCGCTGACACGCAATAGCATGTCGCTTTCAGTTTAAAGTAAAGAGCGGGCGGATAGTGTTTGGCAGGCGGGTTCTGATTCAGTGGAGTATCCCGGAACATAAGCGACAACGTTTGGGCGGACAGATAATCGCCGAGCGCCACTGCCGACTTCAAATCGTTTTTACTAAAAACTCAGTCAAACGTCCTTAGGGTTGCCTCGCGTCTAGTTGCAATATCGACCGCGGTCGCACCTCCTACCTCTCACAGTCTCCGTCTTGGGCGAGGCTCGAACGAATGCAGGAAACTCGTTTAGTGGGTCACTTAAATCACCTTCACCTATATACGAAGCGAGCGCGTGCAGCGCAAGAAAGTCGCTTTGAAGTTCGGTCACAGAGAAAAAATATCAGAGTATACTACTGCTTTTACTACGTCAAACGGATGGAAGATAAGTATTGAATAGTTAGTTGTTATTATACTTCGAGGTAATCGAAATCACGAGCCACTTAACATGTGCTGCATGAATTGTATATATGAATTTGTACTAAAGTCGTTGAATTTATATCTCAAATTAAAACTTTAAAATCACTACTTCGTATATACTCGTAGTATGTTTTTATTAAGCTTAAGCTAATTTTTAAATAAAAACAAAAATTCTACTAACTACATTAATTACGAAAACGTGGAAACGTTAAAAAGTCATTATCGCGAGGTGTCTTCGTGAAGTTCAACTTCCAGAAACGAAATTAGAAGCTCATCGCGCGTTTCAATCTTCGTAGAATTAAA